ACAGAGCCGCAGCAGCAGCAGCAGCAGCAGCAGCAGCAGCAGCAGCAGCAGCTGCTGCTGCTGCTGCTGCTGCCGCTGCTGCTGCTGCTGCTGCTGCTGTTTTGTTGTTGTTGTTGTTGTTGTTGTTGTTGTTGTTGTTTTGCGGCTGCTGCTGGTGCTGGTGCTGGTGCTGGTGCTGGTGCTGCTGCTGCTGCTGCTGCTGCTGCTGCTGGTGCTGCTGCTGCTGCTGCTGCTGCTGCTAGCATCAACAATAGCAGGCAGCAGCAGGAGGAGGAAGAGGATAAGGAGCAGGAGGCAGAAGGAGGAGCAGGAGTACAAAAAATCAGGTTTCAAATGCTAAAGATAAAGTCGTTCCATGTCATAGAATTACGCGAGCACTACATTTGAGAGGTGCAAGTGGTAGAAGTGGTGTTGGCGCTGGCAGCGGTGGCCAGTCCCGGGATCATGGTTTAGGCTTTAAGGTTGTTTAGGGTCTAGGGTATAGGGTGTGAGGCGGCAATATCTAAGACCACGTCAGACACTGTCGTCTGAACTTTTAGGGGGCTGAGAACTGTGCTTCAAAAAGACACGAGTAATAGGATGATCGGCACCACTAGAAGCCAAAGTGTTGCAGCAACAAAGCCATCAAGAAACACCCCTGCTAGTGGCACGGCTGACGATGGCAATTCCAATGCCATCCTCAAGGTTATCTACAGCCGACATGCATTGCGTCCTCCGTACAAGTTAAGTAGCCAACTATAGAGCTTCTTGCACCCCGGCTCAATATCGCGTATAGATCGGTGCTAGATTGGCGAGCTTACTGGGCCCTGTGACCCCTGGTTGTCATCGGCATATCAACATATCCAGAGCCTCGTCCGGGTGCACTGGTGCCGAAGCACTTCGGACAGCGCTGCCCTGGCAAATGGAGGTAAGTTCAAGAGTTCAGGGGTCTAGGATTGAACCCTATATAGATTCAAAACCCTTTGTGGGTCTGGGTGTTTTAGGGTTTCAGAAAGAGTTTAAGGTAAGCTTAAATCTAAGCGGCTCGAAGCACGTACTCTTCTAATTGAAAGAAGAAAAATTCTGATGTAAGAAAATTGAATATGCCAGGTAATGGGGGTTTCCAAGAAGTAGGGCCTCTTTCTGGGGAGCACCTTGAGTAAAGAGCATAGACTATCGGAGTCTATATCAGGGCCCCAAATTTATGGAAACACCCTCTCTAGACAAAGTAACGTGGGCGTCCGTTACGTCATGCTGCCTGAGCGTTGAGGCTCAGGTCTTCCAGTTCAACTCTTTCTTGTGTGTAGGGGTTCTAGAACGATGGGCCCCCTGTTCGACGGAAGAATGAAGATTGAATTGGCTTGGTGGTACACGAGGGGGCTCCTCCCAGTTTTGAAAGATAAGCAGGGAACCCAACTGTTGGAAACCCCAATTTAGGGGGAAGGGACCTGTGCAATCTTTCGGCAAAGAGCTTATACCATAGCAATCCTAAACCCGAGGCCCTAGAGCCTCAACATGCCTCAACCCCACCCGTCTCTACCTATATTTACGCAAATTGAGCCGTTATAGGGCTGAGCCCTAAACCCTCAACCCCTATCCCCTTTTAAAGTCTTCCAGAGCCCGGCCTGTGGCGCATCTTTGGCACCACTCGTAGGCACGGGACCTCAAGAAGCCGTGCCACCGTAGAGCTAGCGACAACACATAGGGTTTAGGGTTTAGGGTTCTGTAACCACTGGGTGGCTGGCATACCCTAACGACCCATTAGGGCACCTCCTAACTTGCTAGCGAGTCAGCGCCCATATCATAGCTGCCCAGGTCCCGCTTTCATAGCTGCAGCCCGCTTGAGAAGCGCATGAGCGCGTTGATAAACCAATGAGTGCAGAGAATGTCTCAAGCTATCTCCATTCGGTACTTTTTATGGAAGAACACCATTTCCGCCAACCTACCGCAGCTTGCCAGATTTCTTCAACTTAGGGAGGTGAATAATTCTTCCATCAACAATATGAGGATTCCCGAAAAGTGATAGCAAGAATGTTAGTAAATTGGGGATTAATGGGGTCCATGTTGGGGTCCCCGATTTGTGGAAACCACAAATCCTAAACCCTTAACCCGAATATCTCCCCTAAACCCTAAACCCTAAACCCGAATGTCTGCAGGCAAGGATGCTGTGCTTTTGAAGGTGCATGTACCATGCACAAGGACCCATGGTCTGCAAGCCACGAATAATAGGCTGCCTTTTCTGGGATGTCGTGAAGGAACCACAAAGTAATTTACTATACTAACGAAACCGTTGTAGTTACTATATGTCTTCAGAAATCTCTTGTGCACGCTCCATGGCTCAAATATACCTGTAATGCGCATGCAGCCAGGATTGGTCATAGCATTGCCCCGTTGGGTACATGGCGGAACTGTGGTCTTGGGAGGGCCCTCATACCAAGGATCCGGGTAGTTCGGGGAGATGAATGTTGTACTCAAATGCATGGTACATACCCGAATAATTGGGGTTCAGTTCTTTACTCGCAAAGGCGAGTAGACCAACGACGAAAATGCCGTAAGCTTCTGCAGCTCCCCCGCCTACAAAAGCACGCGGGCTGGGGTGGATGCCATCCTCCGCAAACGAAAGCATCTTGAAAGGCGCCGTGGAGATCTTGCGCAGGAAGTTGTAGACCTGGGAATTGATCAGTTTACATCTAGAGTTCCGGATGCGGGAAATTCTTTCGGTTTCCTGTAGCTTTACGAGGGAAACTATAGGGGAGAGAATTTTGCACAATGACAATTCGGGGCAGAGGCATTTCATCAACTACCACCTGCATCCCAAACCGTGGCCACCGGCAGTGCAAAGCATGTGCCAGCTTGTCTCATGTATAGCAGAGCAAGTCTGACTTCCACATGGTTGGGTTTCCCTGCTGGCCTTTAGAGTTTAGAGTTTAAGCTTTTGGGGTTCCGGGATATTATCTTGAGGTAACACTCAAAGCTGTGCTGCTTCACAGCCTCACGTAGAAGGGGATATTGAGAAACACAACTTTCCACAACCACTTGTACAAATACTGTAATGAGCCCTTTGACAACACTAGCATACTGCGGCAGTAAAGATCTCAAAAACATCCCCAGGCACCCCGCCACCCCGGTAGGAGGGTCCACCACCAGCGTCGGGTACAACAGGAGCTTTGTGGTAGCTGAGTCCAACCTGGGCCGACTGAGACTTGGACTTGCGGGTTGGGGTCCTGTTCACCTAGGGTTTATAATATAGGGGTATAATATAGGAGTAAAATATGGGGCTATAGAGATAATGGAAACTACTACTTGGGGTTTAGGGTTTAGAGCTCAGGGTTTAAGCGAGTTTAGGGTTAGCTTTGGTTTAGTCACTGTTAGGATGGAGCCGTTTTGTCAATGAGCATGTTGGCTTCTAAGGCCACACGATGCCGGACCAGCTGAGGCCGCAACGGCGGTGATGCCCTTTCCAACAACCCATACACTGCAAACTGAACCTTGGCTTCTTTAAGTTTGGGGTTTAGGGTTTAGGGTTTAGGGTTCAGGCTTAGGGTTTAGGGTATAGGGTTTAGGGTTCAGGATTAGGGTTTAGGGTACAGGGTTTAGGGTTCAGGATTAGTGTTTAGGGTTTAGGGTTCAGGATTAGGGTTTAGGGTATAGGGCATCAGAAGCACAATTCCCAAGTACTGAGGTTAAACTGTGTAAAGAGGAGACAGGGAAAGACCAAAAACGAACTGTAGTTTAGGATCCAACATTCTATTATTTTAAGGTGCCACACTCCTACGAGAAGACAAGCCGATTATCTTTGAAAAGCACAGCAAAGCATCCATGATTTCCCAGTATGACAGCTATTAAACCCTAAACCCTAAACCCTAAACCGCAACCTCACAATGCCTGTCACTGCCAAGTCTACAGTGTTCACTTTGGGGTTTAGGGTTTAGGGTTTAGGGTTTAGGCCCCATCCCCAGCGTCTTTGATCTACTTCCAAAAGATGCGATACCAGAAGCCTTCGCTTCTTGGAACTGCATTTCTGGCTGAGGGTTACCTCTTAAGATCATGGGTTCCTATCTGGGGGTCAAATAATCTGGAGCTTCCACTGCTGATGGAATAGACCATGCACTCCCCTGAGCATACTCTTGTGCTGACGGTTACGAGGCTCCATGGATACTTCTTAAGAAGCCTAGACCATGAGCTTTGCTTCAAGTAACTCTTGGGACTGCCAAACTGCGTAACATGGAGAAACCTCTGAGGATGGGAGCCCTTACATGCAGACCTGTTCAATACCATTTCAGGGAAGTCCACATACCCAAAAAACTCCATCCTCACTGTAGGACTTGCAGACCTATTGCAATCTAGACGGCCCCTCACATGGCGATTTGCCACAGGATTGCCTCAATCATGATGCATGTGACAGTTGTCACTTTTGCAAGTCAAGAGAACGAAAGCTAGCACCGACAACTCTGAAATGTCATGCTCCCTAAACCCTAAACCCTATAAGCCATGAACCTCAGAAACACTGAAGACTTGTGTCTCATTTGGACAATTTCAGGCAAGCAAGCTGCTCTTTGCATCCATCTTACAGTCACCATCCTGCACCTGTAATGAAATTTAGCTCATGGACAAAGCCCCGGTTTTAGGGTTTTGGGTTTTGGGTTTTTAGGGCTTAAGGTCCCTACTCCCTAGGAATTATGGCAGCTTAGCATACTTCATCAGAGGATGTCGGTAATCCCAAACCCCCAATGCTAGGATCCTATGAGAGTCACATGCCAGTTACAAGCATGGGGGGCTGGAGTAGCCAAAAACGTTTCCTTGTCAACCTTAAAAGGCTGTTTTAGGTTTTGTCCATAAATTGTTGAAACTGTATCAACCCTATCAAGCCCTAAAACCGTCAAACCCTTCCCCTATCAAACCGTAAAACCATCAACCTTTGCAATTCCTGGGTGGGCTGCTGTCAGGTACACCAATAGGTGAAGCTGCTTAGTTGACCTTGGGCAACAAACACCCTAAACCCTAAACCCAAATGAGGGTTTAGAGTTTCAGGCTTAAAGTTGCCGCGGTTTTAGGCTTGGGGGAGCCGTTAGAGGCTGTTAAGTGTAAGAAGGAGGTTCTGGGCTCCCCGTTTGATTGAAAAGTGATTGAAACTTCCACACCAGGAGGATCGAAAAGGTACAGGATTCCAGGTTTTGAGTCAGTTTTGAGGTGTGGGTCCTGCAATCAAAGTTCAGGATCTTGGCGTGAGTAAGGGGTTCGTCGCCCTGCCTGCAAGCAGACTTTGTATCAATTGAGAATATTGCACTGCAAGTTTAAGGCTCATGGAGCTCATGGCTTGCAGTGTAGACTGTGCAGGTGCCTCCAAGAAAGGAGCTTCTGGCCCCGCTTTGATGTGCCTGCATAAGGGTACCCTGTGATCTTGTGAGGTACGCTCCAGCAAAAGCCCGCAAAATAATCCCAACACTAATGCCATACCCATATTCATGAACGGCTGTTAGTACAATTTGCAGCTTCTGCGGGCAGTGTTTGATTCTGTTCATCTGTAGCGGGTGTATGACTCGAACACCTCCCAAATCCGACGGCGTCTGACCGGCGGGGCTCTCACAAACCTGGTGAGGGGATCTTAAGGCACACGCAACAGCAAAACAAGACCTTCTGCAAAGTCCGATCTTCCGAGGTGTCTGGCCTGACTG